TTCCCATAGATTTTTTTTTCTAATAAGGTTTTAACGAGGCACATTATTTATGGACATCCAAGGGGGAATGTTATGATAAAAATCAAAATATGGTGGATGTTTACTCTTCCTCCATGATCTTTCTCTCAAATGGTTAATGACATATTCAATGACATATTTTCTATGTTCAATGACATATTCCATGACATATTTTCTTCACTTTTCATGCCTATATAAAGGCCTTGTAATAGATAGGAAAATACACACAATTGAAGAAGAAAATCTCTTCCTTCTCTCTATCTCTATTTCTTGTTCATGTTTTACTAAATTGCTTTTATTTCTTGTTCATGTTTTACTAAATTGCTTTTATTTCATAACAGAATGATATTTTTAAACCTTTTCCAATTTCCGTTTTACATATTTTAGGGACTCTTCCTATTAAGGACCATTATTATCATTCTCCTTGTAAATTTTACTCATGCGACGTATCTGATGCGACTTACAACAATTGGTCCCACCTAAAATATTCTCAACTTTTTTTTTTCTTAAACCCTTGAAAAGCTTCTTTTCCTCCTCCTTCCGTCTCTCCGCATATATTCGTTTTTTCCGAGCACAGCGCCACCGTACGCCGCCGCCGCAGCCATGACCACCATGAACATCTCAACCCTGAGGCTCGACTCCAACCCAATCACCACCTCGACGAAGTCAACTCACCGGAGTGGGGCCCTCGGTTACAGTGGGAGCTACAGCTGTAGGCTCCTTCAGCTTCAGAAAAAGAATAAGGCTCCTTCAATTATAGTTTGTTCAACAAAGCCGCTTGCTTCGGTAGTGGAGCATCAGGGAGTCAGCGACTCGGGGTTGACTCGAATTGAGTCACTGAGTCAGGTATCAGGCGTCTTGGGTTGCCAATGGGGCGATGAAGGAAAAGGAAAGCTAGTTGATATTTTGGCTAAGCATTTCGATATTGTTGCTCGTTGTCAGGTATATATTTATGTGAGCTTGTTTGCCTAGTTTCACCGTGACTATAAATCATTGCAAAATCCAAATTTTAAAGTTAACTTATTTTTATATTTAAAAAGGTGCCATTTTTTTTTTTGAACATATTAAAAGAAAGATTTTTGAAACTTGGCTCTAAAACAAGTCGTAACATTTGTGTGACCTTAAATTATCTCATAAATGGCAAAATCTAAATTTTAAAATTAAATTGTTTCTAAATATAACAAGGTATCATTCTTTTTGGAGCATACTCAAAAGGAGAGGACATAGGGAATTTGAGTTTATGTTCCTAAAGAGTTACTGTTATAGCTGGTTGAGTAACACTGAGACTTTAGTCTGTAAAGCTAAAGTCTTGGAGTGATTTTTAGGCCATATCAAGAACAGTGCTTGATTGGAATTTCCATGAGATATATTTTGTTTCAGTAAGTGGGTGAATTAGGATACAGGAGGTCTCCAAAAGATGCATACTGAAACTTAATCGTAGTTTCTGTAGAGCTGTTTCAAATTCTATATTTTGATTCTAGAGTCTCTCCATTATTATGGAATTTTCATTAATATTTAGATCAAATATTTTTGTAGAATGTTTATGTATTTTTTTCCAATTCCAATTGGTCTTAAACTTGGTATTTGCTTTTGTTTTTGTGACCATCCTATCATTCCACTTCAGATTATTGCCTGGGATAGATAAACTTGTTAACTAGCTGAGCTCTTCAATATGTTTCTTGCTGTTAGGGAGGAGCCAATGCTGGGCACACTATTTACAATTCTGAGGGGAAGAAGTTTGCTCTGCACCTTGTCCCTTCAGGGATTCTCAATGAGGAAACGGTATGTGTTATTGGTAGCGGAGTCGTGGTGCATCTACCAGGACTATTTAAAGAAATTGATAATCTTGAATCTAATGGAGTCTCTTGCCAAGGAAGGATCTTGGTGTCTGATCGTGCTCACTTGTTATTTGATTTTCACCAAGAAGTAGATGGGCTTAGAGAAGCTGAGCTAGCTAAATCCTTTATTGGCACAACCAAGAGAGGCATCGGGCCTTGCTATTCAAGCAAGGTTATTCGAAATGGTATAAGGGTAAGTGATCTAAGACATATGGATACATTCCCCCAGCAGCTTGATCTTTTACTATCAGATGCAGCTTCAAGGTTCCAAGGCTTTAACTATGGCCCTGACATGCTCAGGGAAGAAGTGGAACGCTACAAGAAATTTGCTGAGAGGTTGGAACCCTTTATTACAGATACTGTGCACTTCATGAATGATGCTATATCTCAGAAAAAGAAGATTTTGGTTGAAGGGGGTCAGGCAACAATGTTGGATATCGATTTTGGAACATACCCTTTTGTGACTTCATCGAGTCCATCAGCCGGTGGAATCTGCACAGGTCTTGGCATTGCTCCTAGAGTTGTCGGTGATCTTGTTGGTGTGGTAAGCAAACTTGATTTTTCTTAAAATATTTTTTTTCTCCTTTTATACTGAAGAATGAATCATTCTCATGGATGTTCAACTAGCTCTTAGGAACCAATTCACTGCATGGTCCTTCAATCTCCCTTTATTGTGTTTTAAGCGCAGAGCAGCCAAATATTGTGCATTTTTAACTTATGCTTTTCCTGCAGGTTAAGGCATATACCACAAGAGTTGGTTCTGGTCCATTCCCAACAGAAATTATGGGCAAAGGTGGTGACCTTCTTCGTTTTGCTGGGCAGGAGTTTGGCACAACTACTGGACGCCCGCGTCGCTGTGGTTGGCTAGACATAGTTGCACTGAGATTCTGCTGTCAGATAAATGGATTTGCTTTTCTAAACCTAACAAAACTAGATGTTCTGTCAGATCTATCAGAAATTCAGTTGGGTGTTACTTACCGGCATCCTGATGGTTCAACATTAAACTCTTTTCCTTCTGATCTTCGTCTTCTTGAGCAAATAAAGGTAAGTTCTTCTCTTTTCTTCTTCGACATCCTTTTGTGTGATGATTTTGTGGGCCAGAAGTGAAGTGAGTGCAACTACTCAAAGACTGTCTGGACACATTAGGCCTTTTTTCTCTATATTTCTTGGTGTTTGGAATCCTAGATTATTAGTTCCAACTTTCATGTGAATGTTTTAGGGAAATGGAGTCATGTTAACACATTGAATTCGCTAAAATCTTTTTCATGAAAGATTTGTTTTTAGTGAGGAATTAACTCCAGTTTGGTTTCCTCTACCCTATGATTGGAAGGTGGTAGAAAATGAATTTTCTGGGTTTTATTATACTTTGTTTCCTTCCGTTTTTGTCTTTTTCTCTAATATTTCATGATTTTTCCCTATTGGCTGTTCATATCCCCGAGACCTTCAGTACGCACATTGAATCTTCTTTATCCCCCGGTTGCATGTTTCTTATTACCATTTTGTACTTTCTTGTATTCTGAATTTATTTGGTTCATTCAATCTACATAGGTGGAATATGAAGTTATGCCCGGGTGGCAAAGTGATATTTCTTCTGTCAGAAAGTATTCGGACTTGCCCAAGGCTGCGCGTGAATATGTTGAAAGGATAGAGGAGCTTGTTGGGGTACCTGTCCATTACATTGGTGTTGGGCCTGGTCGTGACGCCCTTATCTACAAGTGATTTTAGTTTTTTTCGTCATATTGTTGTAATCCTATTCTTCAAATTGCTGGTAAACCTTAGGCTAAGCTTGTAGTAACATCCAGGATTATCAATCTGATGTCATTGCCTAATGTAAAACTAGATATCACCCCACCCCTTTTTTGGCCCTTTCGGGATTTTGTTTGAGCCTCGGAAGGAAAAATCAGGTAAGAATTGAATTGGCACCGGGTTGCTTGGGTTTCATGCCTCCTCAAATAAGAGGATTAGCTGCAAGTCTGCAACGATGATCAAGATTTTAATTTCAGTTGGATGCAACAGTTCTGTGCTTATATGGTCAAGTTCCATTTTAGCTTCAACTCTGCCTGTTGCTGCATATTCCAGTACTGTAACTTATTAAATTCATGAAAGTTGAGCTTTCTTTCCTCTTCTTGTTCTGTATGTTGACGAACATCACTTAGTCAACCCTTCAGTATTGCAATATTCATGTCTTGGTCTTCCATATTTCATGATTCTTGAATTCATATTGCAAAAACTGTGATGCCACTGGGTTGTTGCGTTCATTTGTGACTGATTATCGTGGATAGTATCGTTCTTTTTTGAGATGGATGGAGCATCATTCAAACAGTCGAATGAACATGAAGTTAATTGAACATTTGAACTTGATTCCCATAAAAGAGAAATTTAATTTGAGTTCCACGTGATAAGGGGCGCTCTATTTTGAACTACTTGTGTTGGTTTTCTGCCCTATTTGTTTGAAATACAATAACAAAGGTCTTTTTGTTGAGAATTCTTTGATCTGGCAATTTATTTTATAGTAGACAGAAAATAATAAACTAAAATTATGTCATCTCGGTTTATAATTGGCTCACATTGATTGCACCCATGAGGACTTCCATTGCTTCTCTTTCTTCATGCGTTAGCAATTGTTTTACAGACCTGTGGGCAGGATCCATTTCAAAAGAATTTAACTTCTATACTTTTATCCCCTATTATTTTATCGTTAGGTTAAGATAACATGCAATAACTTATAATTCTTTATAGTAAGCGAAGTTAATAATGTTATTTTCGTGTGACCTATAGGTCACGGGTTCGAGCCGTAGAATCAGCCACTCATGCTTGCATTAGGGTAAGCTGCCTACATCACACCTTCTGGAGTGTGGCCCTTCCGCCGACCCTGCGTAAATACGAAACACTTTGCGCACCAAACTGTCCATAAGTAAGTGAATTTAATAACCTAGAAGTTCAATAAATAACTGTTTATAATCGATTAAATAACACTGATCATGTAAAAAAGTTTTTTATACTATCCATGTATATAATATAAAATCTTATAAAAATTACTGTCAAGGAGAGTTTTAGTAGGTATAATAATATTAGTGCAATATGTCTATACCTATTTCTACTAACATCAGACAATATCCTCTTAATCCATTATACATTAGTCTTCTCAATCCCATGCACCCATACAGAAAAGGAGATTTCCCTGGTGTCTGCAAAAATAACTCAATTTTTTTCAGAAGTTCCATATTGAAGAAGGAAACATAAGCTCATCATTCACATTATAAGCATCAATAAAGCTACTAGTCTCTTCTGCCTGATCATGATCATCTATCCCTGTTATTGCACCCAATGTATCCCAATTGTAACTTGCATCAGCAAAGAAATTAGCAACTGAACTGTCATCTTTCAATGAAACTTCTGACTCAGTGAAACAACTGATGCTATGATCATGACTTTTATCCGCCTTATCATCGTCTCTTTTCAGTATTCCAAGTTGTTGAAGAAATTCATTCAGATCAATCTGAGGCTTTTCTTGAACTACTGATTTATTTTGTGATGAAAATTCAACTTCCTTTTCCTTGACTTGTGGAATTGTCAAGTGGGGTTGTTTACTAAAGTTGTATATTTCATTCTTGGGATCACTGATTGATGAACTTGAAGACGATGCCTCTATTTTCTTGAGTTCTTGAAGTCTTTGGTGAATTACATGAACATTAGGTTGAGCACTTAAGTTGAGCAAACCAGTAGTACAATTAGGGAATGATGAAACAAAGTTGGTTGAGGAAAACCATTTGAACTTTTGTGATTTGTTTAATGGATTGAAATTAGCTCTCATGTGTGGTAAATTAAGGTAAGCATCAGGACCATATAATCTCCGAGCTGCTTCATCATAAGCCATAGCAGCTTCTTCAGCTGTTGCAAAAGATCCTAACCAGAGTCTAGTTCTCTTCTTAGGCTCTCTGATTTCTGCTACCCATTTTCCCCATGTTCTTTGTCGAACGCCTCGGTATTCGCATAATGCATTTTGTGGGCCCCCTTTTCCTCTTGCTGGGCCCTTCTTCCATGGTTTTAGTGGATTTCTTTTGTAGTTGTCCATGTCAGGATGCAAAGCGCAACTGACGTCTGTGTGATTACTTTCTGCCAACCAAAAGCCCACTTAGTGTGCTAGACTCTGGATTATCCGTGCCGTACTGGAAGGCCAATGTCAAGATCACGACTTCTATTAGTAAGAGTGACAATTACAAGAAAGCTAGCATGGTGTCATGGGGAAGAGTCACCAATAAAGAGAGAGGCAGCTTAGTGAAGAGAAGTGAAGAGTGTATTTTTGCTTAGTGTTGAGTGTGAGGAGAGAGTGAAAGGCGCGGGGGATATGTATAGGTAGAATTTGTAGTTTGATTTAAATGTTTTCACGTTTGTAGAAAGTCTTATAAGAGCTCATGTGACCGTTGGTCTAATAGTGTACGCTGAATATAATGTCAAGTCACATTATTCTTAGTTCTAAATGCTTCCATTGTTTAATTTATTTTCCCTTTCCATTCTTTTATTTGTAGCTGCTGCTGCTGCTACTACTCTACTGCTGCTTTGTTTCTTCAATTTTTCTAACATTATATGGAGCTAGCAACATATGATGTATAAGCCAGTGGTTTGTGTAATGCACCATATGCATGCATGCATTTATTAGAAGATGAAATCAAGATTTGCATATACACTTTTATAGGCTCTCTTGGTATTGAGTTAAGAGGCGGAGCTAGAATTTTAAGTTTATCAGTCAATTTTTTTAGTCATCTTAAGTTATTGGGTTCTAAATTAATAATTTATACATAATCAATGAATTTTAGACAAATACAAAGTTTGGACCAAAGTCATTGAGTTAGGCCGAACCCGTAAGTTGTACTCTAGCTCCGCCCCATTGAGACCATGTAAGCTAAGAGTTCACGTGAAATCAGTAGCTTCTATCCAAACTCTATAAATAGTTGACCCTGAACTCAATTATATTATTTTATTAACTTGAGGTCCCTGCAGCAACTTATAAACTTGAAATTCTGGATCCGCCTCTGCAACTAGTATATATGATCTTTTAAACTAAGATTAGCACATGGAATTGAAGACATGAAAACAAATTGCTTTGAATGCAGAATGACACCTCACTTCCTTGGATTCTCTATTAATGGTCTACTCTCATATAGTCACAGACATTCACAGATCGAAGATGTAGAAGAAGAAGAAAGACTAGCCAGTGATCGAGTCACTAAGCAATTAAGAAAAGCACCTCACAAAATTTTTTGACAATCACGAGCCCTCTAATTCACATGTTTTCCTGACATAAAGGCCTGATTCTCGAGACTTTTTGTCTTCATCTTTATCCCATGCAATGCATACGTACACAACTTGATAGTGTGTATACTGCTGGGAATTGAAACACACTGTGAAAATCCAACTCTACCAATTGTGCAGGCAGCTGCAAAGAGGGTTGGACTTTGGGACGGGGCGGAGTTGCACGATACTAAAGGGGTTCAATTGAATTTCTTTCGTCGATAATGCAAGTTATTTTGTTTTACATATATAAATTTGAATCTACTTAATATAAGGACGCTTCTAATATAGTGGTAAAAAATTGCTCAAAAATTATTTTAGGTAGATTTGAGGTTTGAATCTTTGGCGTGCTATTCTTGTTTTTTCTTTTTGTCAGGATTCATGGCTGGTTCGGAGAGGAAGGAGGACTCTCGTACATTTTTTAATCTTTATTAAAAAAATTTGGCTTTTGCCACTGTTCTCATAGAGAAGGAAAGGGCAAGGAATTGATCTGATCCAGTAAATGGACGACAAGCTGACAACGGTAGACAGAAAAAGAACTAGTTGAAGTAGAATAGTAGTAACATGTAGTAGTAGTTTACCTGTGAGAGTAATAAAAGGAGAAACACGGGCTTATGTTCCCCTTTGCATTCTCGGCATTTCATGACAGTGTGAGACTGCTATTCGTCATCACCATGTAGTAGATACGTGTAAAAGAAACTGCAGATGATATATAAGAATACGACAAATATAGACTTACAAATTCGACTTGGTTGTGCTGACAATTCTGTTAAATTAAAAGTCTTTATTAGATATGACAAGGGCACCTCTAGGATACAATTGTGTTATTCTTTTTCACTGTATTTATTCTTTCTGGTCTTCTGCCTTTGAATTGAACTTATAACTAACTTCTTATAGTAATTATCACGTTCAAACTTCATGGTAACCGTGACTCTGTTTTTAATTTCACTACACATGATCGCTACTAGTTGAGTTCTTAATCGGTCAATGTCCATATTCGTAATTCAAAGAAATTAAGTGAATATTTAATTTCATAGAATAGTGGTATACAGACCAGTTAAAATATTGTTGAACTTGCTAAACAAGGTTGTAATAACAGCTACAGAAATTTACGAGCACAATGTTTAAGTATTTTTTCGGAAGCATTATTGATGTCAAAAACAAAGTGTTGTGATTACATCCAAAGAGAGAGCAAAACAACAGAAAAGACCCTAGCTATCGATACAAAAGATACAAATGAACCGTAACAGGGTTTTACAGTCATCTATCCGTCCAATTTACACCAAAAAGGATTACAACAATTGAACAACGAGCTATTCTTAGCCCCCAACACAGATACTATTGAGTGTCTCTTACTTTCACCCCTTCAGCTTAGCATCATATTCATATAAAGAGAAAATCATTTTGGCTTCATCTAAAGAAACTCAACAAGCATCAAAGTCTAAGCTTAAATCTGCCCCCCCC